ACCGAACTCATCTTCCTCCGCGCGAGGGAGGGTTGACCCCGTTCGTCCTTGCCTGACATGCTGCTGCCCGCGGCCTTCCTTCCCGAAGCGGTGCCAGTCTTTATGTGCTGTGGCTTTCCTTTTCTTGGTAGTTCAACTCTGGGAGGCTTGTTCCCTGGTACATTAGAGTGGCATTCTTCTTCTCCTCTTCCCGATATTTCTCTCTTTGCCACTGGCCTCGGCCGCTCGGTCCGAAAGGCGCTGTTGGCTTCGTCTTCTGTAGGCAGGGAGGATCCTCTTTTGGCTTTTGTCCCGATTCGAGTGCCGTGGACACTTGGGGTGGCTTTCTTTTCTCTTCTTCTCTGTTCCCTGCCTATAAGGGGAGTTCCTGGCTGTTTTGGTGGTGGTGGTTAAAAAGTTTAGCTAGAGGAGGTTGGAAAGGAAATTCTGGGAGAGCTTTTTCTTTGAGTTGGTTTCCTGTGCTGCTTTGTTTTAGCATTCTTGAGGTACTCTTCTTCCGCCCCCTCTTGTGGTTCCTCGTTGCTCTTCGGTTTTCTCTTTGCCGAGCCTTGAGCTTGCCTCTGATGGATGATACAGCACGTTAGCTCACTTTATTTGGATATATTTTTTTTTAGATATTCACTTCAAATGCATTTGGAAATGAAAATGTGAGCATGTGTTAAAACTAGACTTGTTTACTTGCTTAAACTAGGGAGGCTATGGCATCTTTATGATCATTGTGGCATGTTTATGTTGGAAGCATTTAGGGAGATTTCGGATTTAGCCTATTATGATTGGTTTTTGCTTAAGAGGAATACTAGGGAGTTCGTTTTACTTCTTATACATATGTGGGGGGCTCGGTTATGGCTTTCTGCGGCTTTCTGCGACTTTCCCTGGCTTGAAATATATGTTATAAAAGAGCTTAGTTAATTTGGGAAAGCTTTGTATCTTGTTTTGAGAGCTTGGCTTAACTCTTCATGAGGCATCACCCCTGTTCAAATATCTGTTGGAACTGTTTCATGCTTGGAATATTTAGATATGCAGGTTGTTTTTTTTTGGCTTTGGACGGCTCGGTTTTTGCCTACAGGTGGTTGGAACTTTAATT